CCCGAGGCCGGGCCTCGGTGGCCTTGTGGGAAATCCGGGCCTGTGCACGTGGCTGCACGAGGAAACTGACCCCAGACTGAACAGAATGGTGGAGCCAAGGAAAACTTCCAAAGAGGTACAAGCTAAACTCAAAAGGTCAATGGTACATCAGATTGCACCATGTGTTGCTTTTTGAGTGACAGTGGGTTCAAAAGGAAGAAGACCCAGGAGGACTCCACTGTTAAAAGAAACACATAAAGCCAAACTAGAATTTGCTAAAATGCATATAGGCAAGCTGCAATTCTTCTGGGAGACACAACTGGTGGTTTCTGGCAAGTCACATGAGCTCTCTGTTCACAGATGAAAAATGAATCTTTCAAAATGAACATCGTACCAACTGTGAAACATGGAGGCGGCTCAGTTATGTTTCAGTGCTGCATCTGGCCTTGAATCTGTGACGAAGAAATAAAGTCACCAGCACGCCAAATAGTAGTTTAGCAATCGTCCATTTAATGACACATTGCCATTCAAGGCAAGCGCTTTTTCGGGGCCTCAAAGGGTCCCCTTCATCAGGCTCAGAATGACCCTCATTCGAAGCCTGATGAAGGGGACCCTTTGAGGCCCCGAAAAAGCGCTTGCCTTGAATGGCAATGTGTCATTAAATGGACGATTGCTAAACTACTATTTGGCGTGCTGGTGACTTTATTTCTTCATTGGAGTTGTTCACGGTGCCATCCGTGGTCACTACACGCACCCACCCGTCTACACGGGACTCTTGGATGTTTCGGTAAAGAGTGCAGCAAGACCTCTGGTTCTGAATATCGAATCTGTGACGGGGCCAATTAAATCTCAGAACGGTCATGGAATTCCGGTTTGAAACATACTGCCCCTGGTCAGACAGCTATGTCACAGGTCACGGGTCCTCACAGGTTATTAGCACCTAGGAATGAGCCTAGGTTCAGATATCAGCGTCCCAGGACCGCGCACGATTGCACACAGCGATTGCCGCGCAGTCCCATTGATTGCAATGATGTAATAGCCGAGCGGCAAAACAAATGACAAACGCACTCATCAATTCGTTACCAGCTTTACAGCAAGGTGCACACGGAAGGGCTTCAAACAGTAAAAAGTTTCCCGGCACACTCGCCAGCCAGCATGCAAAATCCGCGCAGCAATCGCAGAAAAAAGGTAAAACAAAAAAAAGGCCTGTTGGCGACACACACCGCAGGTTTAAAAAAAAATAATTCACGATCGTGTGCAATTGCGCGGACAGTATCACGGCGGGAAACCACGCGATCTGTCTGGCGGGACTGGGGTGCCATTAGAAAATGGCACCGCCAGAGCGATTGGCAGTGGTGTGCTATTCTGTTACTGTGCGGCCATCCGTGCGGTTTCGTGCATGATTGCTGCGTGGTCAAGGCCGGATTTACTCTCCCTGCCGCCCCAAGGCCAGGTTCTGCGATAAACTGTGTCTTTATTCTTTTGTAACTTTTTTTATCACTTTTAATTTTTATTTATTTCATTATTTTTTTATCAATTTAACTTTTTTTTGTGTTTCATTTATGTTATTTACTTTTTTTAATCTTATTTATTTTTTATAATTATTTTTTAATTGTTTCTTATTATTTTTACTTTTTAATCACCTTTTTATTTTTTTATTTGTATGTATTGAATTTTTTTAAATACATTTTTTTCCCCACCTAACTTTATTGCTATCACACAGGAGAAAAGGGTTAGTTTTAACCCTGCCGCTCACTGCAGTGAGGAGAGACTAGGCGGCGGAGCCCGGAAGGAAGACGGAACCAGAGGAGCGAGGTAAGTGCAGGGGGGAGGGGAGGAGGCTGCACACTGTTTACATGTGATCTCGGCGACATCGCCAAGTTCACATGTAAATGAACAATCGTCTGCCTCACTCTACACTTAGCTCGGCTTGTACAAAGCAGGACTGAATGTAGAGAGGGCAACTTCCCCACAAAGACACCGCTGCCGCCCCTCTGCGCCCTACCGCCCAGAAGCCGGGCCTCGGTGGCCTTGTGGGGAATCCGGGCCTGCGCGCGGTCACGGATCGCCCTAGTGTGAACCTGGCTTCTAGGAGCCTTATTCTGAATGAACATCTATGGATGTTCATTCAGGCACTTCAAGCACAGAGACCTGCAGTCTGGAGAAGGAACCCTTCAAACCTAAGACAGAGCAGTTTGCTCAAGAAGAGAACCTTTTACCGCCAAACTACTTCACAGGTGCAGACATCTCATTGAGAACTACAGAAATTGATTTTTTTGTTATTGTCCCTAAAAGTTGTGCAACAAAATATCAGGTTTGGGCTCCTATCGTTTTTTTCCCCACCATTTTCATTGATTTAATAAAACCAAAACATCAAAAGCAAAGTCTGATTTGTATTAGATATGAAATAACCCGGAATTTGCTCTGAAATAATTGGCATCCATCATGGTTTCTTTTTTCCCATGGCAGCGTACCAACAGATTCATAGCCATGGAAGGCGAAGAAACTAATTCACTTTAAAAGACAAAGTAACAGAGACTCTTGGAAGAACAGCCCCCACCCGCTGACACGTACCTGTCCCGCTGCTCCATGTTTCCCGTCGGAGTCAAGAGACCATACACTGTGTAAGCTCCATGTCAGATGTATTGGCACTGACAATTGCACATAAGGGAAGGGAGGAAGTCCTGAGTGCTCCAACTACCCCATCCCCAAGGCTGCATCCTGGGACAAGGTCATACGTTCCCTAAGGCTGGGCACACACCTTACAACCAGCGCAAGACATTAGTCTTGCGCTGGTTGTAAGGTAATTTAAAAAAAAAAACGTACGATCTGCCCATCTTAGGCAGATCGTACTTACGATGATCGCAAGCCGCGCCCCCCGAGGGGCGGGCTTCCGATGAGCGCAATGCCGAACGGGCAGTGCGCTTGCGCACAGCGGTCCGTCCGGCTTTTATCTTCCGAACATGCTACACACCTGCCGAACATCGTACGATGCTCGGCGGGTTTTCGAACATGTTCGTAAGTTAAAAGTCTCACAGTAGCAGAGTTCGCACGGCTTCCACACACCTTACGATAATTGTACGATCGCGGGATTTCCCGCGATTATCGTAAGGTGTGTGGGCACCCTAAGACTAGAAGCACTGGGTAATTCCTGGGGACTTCGAGAGAGAGTGGAAGTGCGGCAAAGTACAAGTGTGCGTGTTGAGGGAGGGGGTCTTTTTAGTGACAGCCCCCACCGCTTATACTTACGTTCCCTTCATGGGAAGGTGGTAGATCATTCAGCAGGGATGGGGGAATTCAGATTTTTTTTTTCCTTCTCATTCAGCCCACCAAGCTTGGCCATACACCAATCGTTTCTTCTCATTCAGGCATGTGGACTAAATGAGATAAAACAATTGGTGGTGTATGGCCAAGCTTGGCGATTGCAGCAGCCAAAATGAAGGTGAACCTGTGGCGTTGCCCTGAATGGGTACACCAATTATGATAAAGAAAAAATGCACAAGAAGATTTATACATGTTGGAAATGATCACAACTCCCCCTACAATACCACCTAAAGCAACTCTATATTCTATAGCTGCCTTTCACAAACTTTTACCCCCAAGGAACCCTTGACATTTTAGGTCTCATGCTACCCCTGCTTAAATTATTCATCAGGAGTCAGTGTGAAGAATGCTCCTTACATTGGGGGTCAGTGGGAAGAATGCCGCTACATTGGGGGTCAGTAGGAAGAATGCCGCTACATTGGGGGTCAGTGGGAAGAATGCCGCTACATTGGGGGTCAGTGGGAAGAATGCCGCTACATTGGGGGTCAGTGGGAAGAATGCCGCTACATTGGGGGTCAGTGGGAAGAATGCCGCTACATTGGGGGTCAGTGGGAAGAATGCCGCTACATTGGGGGTCAGTGGGAAGAATGCTCCTTACATTGGGGGTCAGTGTGAAGAACGCTCCTTACATTTGGGGTCAGTGTGAAGAATGCTCCTTACATTGGGGGTCAGTGGGAATAAGCTTCTTACATTGGTGGTCAGTGGGAAGAATGCTCCTTACATTGGTGGTCAATGGGAAGAATGCCCCTTATATCGGTGGTCAGTGGGAATAAGCTTCTTACATTGGTGGTCAGTGGGAAGAATGCCCCCTTACAGACAGCTAACATCATGGGTGTCATGCCTTTGGCTCTTCCAAGTGGTGTTAGACCCAAAATTATGCAGGGCGCCCTCAAATGGGAGTTCAATCAGCCACAGCTCAAGGGACCCCTAGCAACCTCTGGAGGAACCATAGTGTTCCAGGGAGCCCTGGTTGAGAATGGCTGCTCTATAGACAACCTTTCCTCCACCCTACTTAAAATTAAGTGTTGCCCAAGAAAGGTCAAGAGCCCGCTGCTCCCTCTGGTGTCCAGAGAAGCCTCCTCGTAGATTACTTTTACTTTGCTACTAACCTGCCAGCCCCCCAACCTATAGGATCGCCTAGCTGGTCCATAAACAGTCTCAGCAGGCAGTGGTTCTGTGGGTGGTCAGAGCTCCTGTTGAGAAGTTTAGGTCTCTAAAGTAAAAGTCATCTCAGAGAAGGTGGACAGGTTGACTTAAAAAAAACAACTCCCTATGTAATCCACAGACTATAGCGACCTGAAAAATACCTTTCCTCTGGAATCCCGGAATATTGCTCTCCAAAGCTCGGAGAATGCCAGCATTCTACTGAAGGGGCCTATCACAGTTCACACAAAACGGCCGATTGGCCAGCATCTGATCATGTGACAAACCAGCAGGGAAGATTTCTGCATTGCAAAAGGAAAAAGGAAATATTTCTATGTATTATATAGAAGGGTTGATTTTTTTTTTTTTGCAAAACTGCGTCTACTTTTATTTTAAATATTTTCAGGACTGTTGACAATGTGTGAGAAGCCAAAGCTTGGAGTGACTGAGCGCAGTAGGGATTGGGACCTCCGGCATGTTGGCTCCTACAACAGATCTGGGATCCTTCTTGGCCACCAACTGTGATGAAATCTCAAACCTCATGGACAGGTCGTCCGGCCAGCTGGAATTTGAAGGTCTGCAGCAGCTGGTGCACCTTGGGGTCTCGCCTCGAGTATTCAGTCTGGAAGCCTTCCGAGGCTCCTCAGTTCTCTGACCCATCAGGTGTTGGTGACACATTGGTATCAGTGGTGGTATCCGCGGAGGGCTCTTCTGTAGTCGCAGAGACGTCAGCTTCTTCTGCTGCGACAGAACTCTCCGAGGTCACTAAGTCTTCACTTTCTTTGGGTTTTTCCTCTTCTCCTTCCTTCGCTGAGCTCAACTCTGTGGCTTTCGCTTCTGGGAGACAATACAGAAATGTCATATCCAATTAAAGAAAAGCGCTCCCAAGCACCAGAATACATTATACCCAATTACATTCATAGGGAACATAAATAATAAAACAAACATTTCTGTAAAATAAATTTACCTTTCACGACCCAAAGCTTTTATCAGGAAGTAGAAAAACAAGACGTTTTATTCCTATCCTGGCCACTGCCCCTCCTCCATCACATGTCACAGTTGAGGCTGTAAAGTTGAACTTTCTGCTTAAAAAGGAGAACTATGGGGTTAAGGCTTTTCCCCATAGTTCTACTTAGGGTAACGGTAGGACATAAACTAGCGTCCTCCCGTCACCCTAGGCTCAGTATACCGCCAGCTGTAGCTCGCCGTATACTGAGACGCCGCAACTGAAACGGATCCCGACAATTGTGCCAGGATCCACCCAGCTGCGTGACTGACAGCTTGCTCTGCCTATCTAGAGGCAGAGCCAGCTGTACCCGCCCCCTTCCCCGTCCGTTCCGTCAGTCAGCGCTGGTGGATTGGAGCGGGGAGGGGGGAATCCAGCCACTCCTGCCGCTCTCCTGCCGTGACAGGATCGAGAAGTGAGGGAACGCCGGTATGTGTTCGCACACCTCCCGATCTACTGAGCTGACGTGTGACAGTCTCATTGTCACAGGTCGGCTAGAACTATGAGGTGAGTGAAAAGCACTCACCTCATAGTTCTCCTTTAATAATGCTGCACAGTAACTGAGCTTCATTGGTTATTTTTTTCAGTGATAGGTCTACCAGTCAGGTCTGACTGAATAAAAGAAAATCCTATGGAGGTGATTTATAGACCGATCACATAGTGAACAGCTATGCAAACAAGATTCACAGCACATTGCGGCCACTAGATGGAGCCGAGCAGCATAGGAAACTCCACTTTCTACTTACCTAAATTTGTGGTCATGCCGGGCTCCAAGTCTTCTGTGTTCTGGACTGCAAAAAGGGGGAAGGCCTTTCTTTAAGTGCTCATGTAGCTGGTGATGTGGACACTTCCCACTGGTCCTCCATCAGGGGTCCTCACATGGTCCTTAAGATTCCAGCGGAGGCGTAATGACATCAAGATAAGAGGCAGCAACAAGTACAGTCATGGTGGGCCTAGGCTGCAGGCGTGGGTCAGCAGTGTTCACTCCCAAAGAGGAACCATGGAGGGTCACATGAAGGTAGATTCAAGAGCGTAAAAAAGGGCTTTGGAGGACTTCTAAGCCGTTCGCATAGCGAACATTATGCAAACGAGGTTCACAGCACATTATGACCAATAGATCGAGCCGAGGAACATAGGAAATTCAACTTTCTACTGACCTAAATTTGTGGTCATGCCGGACGCCAAGTATTTTTTCTCGACTGCAAAGTAGGAAGGCTTTTCTTTGGGTGGTCACGTAGATGGTGACGTGAAACTTCGCATTGGTTGCTCATCAGCGGGGTCCTCAAGACTCCATTGACTGTGTAATGACATCCCGATAAGGGGCAGCAACAAGTCCAGTCATTGGAAGGCACACAATGCGGGCGTGGGTCAGCAGTGTTCACTCAGACGAGTAATAAAAAGGGCTTTGCAGGTCTTATAAACCATTCGCATGGCAAACAAGATTCACAGCACATTATGGCCACTAATTTGGAGGATCTTTTTCATTTGTGAATGAGTGAAAGAGAGGGATTCAATATCCCTGGAGATTGGCTTTAAAATAAACATTACAATAAAAGAGTGTGTGTGTGTGCATATATATTTTTTTTTATGTATTTATGTGCTGACTAAAAGCACACTGGCTTTTCCCTATAATTAAATTCCATTTAATGAACAGACAATATATTAAAAAAATCCCTGCGCCGATCTCCCAGGCAGAGAAAACTTCACAGAATGAAAGCTTTCAGATAGAACAGAGCGAGCTTTGTGGCAGAATCCCGTAGGATGATCACCCTGCAGGTAGCGCAATTATAGCGAACGCTTTGTTGTTAAATGGAGAGTATAATAATGTGCGGATGACTGCGAGTCTCTATTCCCGGCTCTACAAAAGAATGACAGAAAGCACTACAAAGGCTCATCAGACA